AGAGAGAGAGACACACACACACACACACACACACACACTCAGAAGGTTTGAGTTTCAAGCTCCCAAGGACCTAACTTCTCCAATGAGGCCCTGCCTTTTAGAGGACCTGCCACTCCCGACAGTCCCATCAGCTGAGGACTGAGCCTTCAACACATGAGATTCTGAGGGCCATTTAAAATTCAAACCATAACATGTGGTAGCAAGAATATGGAGCAGTTGGAACCCTTGTATGTTTTTTGGTAGAAATGTCAAATGGAAACAGAAAGCAGTCTGTTTTTTCTTCCAAATTGTTAAACATAGTTTTTGTGGGTTTTATTTATTTATTTATTTTTCGTTGATACTAGGGTTTGAACTCAGGGCCTACACCTTGAGCCACTCCACCAGCCCTTTTTTTGTGAAGGTTTTTTTTTTTTTTTTTTTTGAGATAGGGTCTCACAAACTATTTGCCTGGGCTGGCTTTGAACTGCGATCCTTCTGATCTCTGTCTCCTGTGTAGCTAGGAGCCTGGCACTTTGTTTTTTTAAATACAGTTTCCGTAAGTTCCAGAAATTCCCCTCCTAAATACATAGCTAAGAGAAATAAAGACCTGTATGCACAAAGAGATGTGTTAATGTTTGCAGCAGCATTATTCGTAATGCTGCTGAAGTGAAAACAACCCAATGTCCATCAAATGATGAGTAAATAATGGAGTGAAAAAGGAATGATAGATACTACAAGACAGATGGGCTTTGAAAAACACTCTAAGTGAAAAAGCTACTCACGAAACATTGTCTATTTTACTCCTATGAAATGTCCTTAAAAGGTAAATCTGTAAAGACATAAAATAGATTTGTGCTTGCCTAGAGTATAAGAAAAGTTGTAAATGGGGGACGTTTGCTATCCAAATGGTTATTTAGGGGTGATAAAAATGTTCTGGAATTATGAGGGTTACACAAGATGTAAAATACTTAAAAATTGAATTACATTGTTTTCAAAGAGCAAATTGTCATAGGTCCATTATCTCAATAAACTTTGCCTAAAAAAGCAAAAATCATGATTGTACCTACATCATTGGGAGCATAAAACCTTACTGCATGTGGGCCTGGGTGTGTAGTCCAGTGGTAGGGAAGTTGCCTAGCCTACACAAAGCCCTGGGTTTGATCCCTGGCACTACTAAAAACAAGATCCTCCAAAATTTAATGTCCATGAAGCACCTAGAGTAGTAGTAAGATACAATAAACACTACCATAGTTTTACTACTGCAAAATAAGTTGCTATAAAACTATTGAAATGAAAAGATTATGATACTGATACTGATATAAGTAAACATATTACTGCCACAGAAACAGATACAGGCATTACTACCAAGTTTTGATTCCAAATTGGATACTTTTTCTTTTTTAGCTTTCTTTTTTTTTTGGGGTGGTTGATTTTTTGAGGCAGGGGTCTCCTTATGTAGCCCAGGCTGACCTCCAGCTTTCAGTCCTCCTGCCTCAGCCTTCTGGGTGCTGGAATTACAGAGATGTACCAGTACACCCTGCTTTTCTCCCTCTTTGAATAGTGGAACCAATAACAACAGTGACCACCATTAAGCAGAGGAGACTTTTATTCTTGGCCAAGAATAGAAGTGGGAGATAAGTTAAAGAATCAACTGGGACTGATAGGGGTTGAGAAATAAAAGAAATGAGGGGAAGGGATAGGTTAATTTAGGGGAGGAATATTCATGTATTTTCTGGGGATGGGCAGAGATTTTCTGAGAATTTGGGTGCTATCTCTTTTCACTCTTTATATGGTTCTTTTTGGTTGCCATGGCAATTGTTCACAGATGGCATTATGATGTAGTTAGAGATTGGCTGTCACTGGCAGACATTTTACATCCAGTTGGTCTCTGCTGGCCCACTGCAGAGGAACTGCTAACCTATAGCCATCCTGTCCTCAAAGGTAAACAAGACTGGTGTGGGGTAGAAATTTAGCTAGGTCACCTAGCAGTATAAGATTAGAGTAGGGTAACAATATATGTAGGAATTTGTTTAATAAATATGGAATTTCAAATTAGTAAATCAAGGAGAGTTTATTAGTAAGAGGTACTACAGTAATTGGCTATTTTTCTGGAGAAAAAAAAATTGGATCCACTCTTCACACAATTAACCAAAATAAAGTCACATGAGGATGAAAAGTTTAAATTTGTGTGTGTGTGTGTGTGTGTGTGTAGTGTGTGTGTGTGTGTGGGGACTGGGGTTTGAACTCAAGTCTTCATGGTTGCAAAGAAGGCACTCTACCACTTGAGCCATGCTTCCAGTCCATTTTGCTCTCGTTATTTTGGAGATGGGGGTCTCTTGAACTGTATGCCCAGGTTAGCCTTGAACTGCAATCCCCCAAATCTCAATCTCTCAGGTGGCTAGGCACAAACCACTGGCGCCAGCTTGGGCAAATAGTTTGCAAGACCATATCTTGAAAAAACCCATCATGAACAAGGGCTGATGGAATGGCTCAAGGTGTAGACCCTGAATTCAAACCCCAGCTCACATAATAATAACAATAATACTAAAAAAACCCAAAGTAATACATTGCAGACGAAATTCAGGAAGTGTTTATGTAGTCTAGATTTTCTGTTTCTTTAAAGAGCATTTTATTTTATTATATTTTTCATTTTTATTTTTATTTATTTTTTCATTTTTCTTTTATTATTCATATGTGCATACAAGGCTTGGTTCATTTCTCCCCCCTGCCCCCACCCCCTCCCTTACCACCCACTCCGCCCCCTCCCTCTCCCCCCCCAATACCCAGCAGAAATTATTTTGCCCTTATTTCTAATTTTGTTGTAGAGAGAGTATAAGCAATAATAGGAAGGAACAAGGGTTTTTGCTGGTTGAGATAAGGATAGCTGTACAGGGCATTGACTCACATTGATTTCCTGTGTGTGGGTGTTACCTTCTAGGTTAATTCTTTTTGATCTAACCTTTTCTCTAGTACCTGTTCCCCTTTTCCTATTGGCCTCAGTTGCTTTAAGGTATCTGCTTTAGTTTCTCTGCATTAAGGGCAACAAATGCTAGCTAGTTTTTTAGGTGTCTTACCTATCCTCACCCCTTCCTTGTGTGCTCTCGCTTTTATCATGTGCTCATAGTCCAATCCCCTTGTTGTGTTTGCCCTTGATCTAATGTCCACATATGAAGGAGAACATACGATTTTTGGTCTTTTGGGCCAGGCTAACCTCACTCAGAATGATGTTCTCCAATTCCATCCATTTACCAGCGAATGATAACATTTCGTTCTTCTTCATGGCTGCATAAAATTCCATTGTGTATAGATACCACATTTTCTTAATCCATTCGTCAGTGCTGGGGCATCTTGGCTGTTTCCATAACTTGGCTATTGTGAATGGTGCCGCAATAAACATGGATGTGCAGGTGCCTCTGGAGTAACAGTCTTTTGGGTATATCCCCAAGAGTGGTATTGCTGGATCAAATGGTAGATCGATGTCCAGCTTTTTAAGTAGCCTCCAAGTTTTTTTCCAGAGTGGTTGTACTAGTCTACATTCCCACCAACAGTGTAAGAGGGTTTAAGGAGCATTTTAAATGCAAAGAAAGAAACCCAGAAATTATTCTTAAAAACAAACTACTTTGGATAAATATTTAATATTTTTGTCCAGCAAAATATCAAATTTTGACAGAACAATTCAGTAAGTGCATAAAATACATTGGGTAACACACATGAAGCAATCTTCATAAAATATGTTGATAAACCAGTGGTTTAAATCATGTATTAATTCCCCAAAGGCCACCCACTTGAAACCACAGCAAAATGATTTCTGTAGAAACTTTAGAACCTGTCCTCAATTTGTAGGGTGGGCTGAGAGGCTCCAGTGGTTAGAGTACCTACTAGCTTAAGGCCAGGCCCTAAATTAAAGTCACACTACTGCCGAAAACAAACAAATAAAACCACAAACTCAATTTGTGAAGAATGCCTGGGGGCCTGGCATTAATCCATGCCTATAATCCCTGCACTATGGCAGGTGGAGGCAGGAGGGTAGCAAGTTCACTATTTAGCTAACCTTAAGCTAGGTAAGAGAGCCCTGTAGCAAAAAAACCAAGGGGGAGGGGGACACCAGTGACAGAGGCCTGTAATCCAAGCTACTCAGAAGGCAGAGATCAGGAGGACTGTGGTTGGAAGCCAGCTGGGGCAAATAGTTCCACAAGACTCTATCTCCAAAAAACCCTTCACAAAAAAAAGGCTGGTGGAGTGGCTCAAGGTGGGTGAAGGCTCTGAGTTAAGCCCCGCCCCAAAACCACCACACCAACAAAAACAAAGGGGGAGGGAGCTAAGATGCTTTGTATCAGTATTATTTTACAGCATACTGTGAGAGGTCCTGAATTTATGCTAAGATTCGTTAAATGCAAAGAGAAATACCTATTTGAAAAAGGAAAAATAAATTCAAGTCTTAGAAAATGTATCAGTATAATGGAAACACAAAGGAGTCAATTATTGGTGTTTAGGATGGTGTCCAAATAATAAAAATAAAGGCCTAAGGACTGGATCAGGCCGGTTGTGGTGGTAGTAATCCTAGCATTCAGAAGACTGAGGCAATAAGATCGCGAGTTCGAGCCCAGCCTTGACACAGAGACCCTGTCTCAAAAAAAAAAAAAAAAAAAGACTGGATTAATTGAGTAAAGGTAGTAGACCACTTCACAGATTGGTAATTTTATCAACAGTGGAATACAAGGGAGGCTCTAGGAGAGCGGGAGGACAAGAAGCGAGCATCCGGCGCGTTCCCACTCTCAGGTTTGCGGTTCAAACCGCGCGCTGGGTCCTGTTCCACTTCCGGCCCCACCCAGAGGCTTTGTTTGAACCTAGTCCTCATGGCCTGTATCTTCTCCAACCCCAAAACCAATCAGCACCGCTACGGGAGGAAACTAGAATTTCTCTGCCCTCGGGGTACAATTTAGGTGAGATTCCACTCCGAACGGGGCACTTCCGGGCCAGAGCTTGGAAGCGGAAGTGGCGTCAGCGGTTCGCGTCCGTCTTTTCCGGTCTGGCTCCGCGCGGCCAAGTTCCTTTTTCTCCTTGGTGGTGGCTTGCTTAAAACGGCTTTGGTTTGTCTGGGTAAGGGTCTGCGCCGGAGATGGAAGTGGGTGACGAAAGTACAAGTGTTGTGGAGTCGCCGAGGAGTCTCTAGATTGGCCCGGCCAGCTCCGTTCGTGCCCCTTGGGACTGCGCGTCCTCCTGGCGCCTCCGGGTCTCGGAGGCCGCTAGGGCCGTGGCTCTGAAGGTCCCCCAGGTGCCGCTTGGATATATTTCTTAATGTCACGTCTTCAGGGGCGTTTCCAACATAATACTTAACGTCTCAAAAGCCTTTCTAAAGTATTCTTTTTTTTTTCCCAAAAGGAAAAGAACTTCCGTTGGAGTCAGGCTTAGTGATCTCTGCACGGGCCTGGCGAACCTGGAGCGCACTGGTGAGTAGCGGGTGAAACTTGGGTCAGGGGGTTTCTTTTGTTTTTTATTTGTGAAACAAATGTGTCGTCTTTGAAGGATGCATTTACTTGGTTATGTTTACTTTCGACACGTTACGTTTATGTAGAAAGAGAAAGTCATTTTTTAGATGATGAGGGCGTGCATTTTTATTTTTTCTTTGTTGATGGAAGTGAGGTTTGAACTCAGGGATTTGTGCTTGCAAAGTAGGTGCTTTACCACTTGAGGCACTCCATCTGTCCATTTTTCTCTGGTTATTTTGGAAGTGGGGTCTCAGGAACTATTTGCCCAGCCTGGCTTCAACCTGCGTCCTCTCGATCTCAGCCTCAAGTAGCAATGATTACAGGGCGTGAGCTACCGGCGTTAGGCTGCACGTTTCTGTATTGTGCAGCTTGTGTAGCATGTGTAGATCACAGATTATTTTGCGAAGGACCAGAAAGAATGCTTAGCCATTCTTTCATCCCACTTTCCTGGTCAGTACTTCCCCACAGAGTTTCAGAACGGAACTTTAGGAAGAAAGGATGAGATTTTATTTCACTAAAGTTACAATATTTGAACATACTTGCTTTCTCCAAGAAAAGTAAAATACATGTTTTGGAAAGCTTAATAAAATGTATTAGTGTATATTAATTGTGTGAAAGAATGGGTTTAATTGTGACACTTTCTGCTTATTTTGCTTAAGACTATGCTTTCCAGTTCCACCAATTTGGAGGAACTTTTTTTTTCTTTCCTGTGCTGAAGTGTGAATTCAGGACTTCATGTATCAAGCTTACCCACTGAGCTACATCCCCAGGCTCCATGGTAAGCTAGTAACTTGATAGGATGTAATTGAAAATTGCAGGCCTGATATTTGAACTTTAAATGCTTGGTAATGCAGCATCTTACCAAAGATAAACACATTATCGTACTGAAACCACAGTAGTTACCCCGGCAGAATGGGCTGGTTTGTCCCAGCTAATGAGACTGAGGAAGGAGAATGGCTTAGGCTGGGGAGATTAGGGCCAGCCTGGGCAATATAGCTAGACCCCCCTCTCAAGAAACCAAAATAAAGAAATAAAACCCCAGCGCAATCCTCTTATTTAGATCAAGAAAGTTAAAAATATTAATATATACCCTTTGTAAAAAAGCCAAGTTCTCCACTTTGTTTTTGATTGTTTTGGATCTGTCTTCCAAGCTTTTTTAGTGTTACCACCTATTCCATATTACTCTGTTACTCATTTAATGTTCATATTACAGGACTGGCTCAGGTTGTAGAATGCTTTCCAGCAAGTACAAGGTGCAGTATTCAATTACCAGTACTGCCAAAAAAGTGAAAAATTTTGGAGCCTGGAGATGTGGATCAGTGGTAGATTACCTGCCTAGCAAGCATGAGGTCCTGAGTTCAAACCTCAATACTGCAAAATAAATAAGTAAATAAATTAATTTAACTGGAAAGCATGAATCGTAATTTCATGGCAAAGAAATTGAGGAATTAGAATTATTGAGCTCACACATCTAGGGAGTTGCATTAATTCCATAGATAAATGACAAGAAAATTCCTCTGTTGTGGTAGGCTGCCAGTTAGCTCTGAAGGAGCTTCATGGCTTAGCATTCTGTTTGCCAATTGGAGAGACTGATGAGCTGGATGGACATAGTGAAACAATTGATGACGATTCTGAAGGTAAAGGCACTTGCAAAATCTGTTGAGAATATCTCCTAACTTTGTATTTGTATGTGGTTTGTCACACAAAAGTAATGCATGTGCACGTGTATCATAAAAATGAAGACTTTTATTCTGGTATAAATAGCCCTGCATTGGGAACAACCCAACTTGTGGTCAGCAGAATGATGATAAATTGTGATGTGTTGTGGAAGAGTACAGCAAACAGAAGGAGTAAATCAAAAGTAGACGCAGCATTTCCGATAAACTTTACTGACGGTTTGAAGTGAAAGAAGCTAGACAAAAAAGAATGTCTTGCCTCTCTCCAGGGCAAGGATTTAGACCTCATTAGCTAACATGAGTGTATTTATTTCTATTGCTGCCTAACAATTTAAAACAAAATTAGTGGGTTAGAGTAACAGTTTCTTTTGAGTCAGGAGCCCAGGCACTGGGTAGCTAGCTTCTTGGTCAGGATTTCACCTGATTTACTATCAAGGCATTGCTAGGGTTGCAGTCTTATGTAGCTTAACTGGAGAAGCTTATGTAGGGAAAAATACTTCCACACTCAGGGAATCGGCAAAATTTGTCTCCTAGAGGTATATAGGACTTTGGTAGGTGTTGAAACCTGGAGGGTAACCTTCACTCCTAGAGTCTTCTGCAGTTCTTGCCACATGACTGTTTGTTTCATTAAGCTAGCTAGCTGAGCTTTATTTCCTCAGAGAAGGCCTACACATTTTACAAGCAGGTGGCGCCCACAGGGATCATATTAGGGTTTGCCAGCCACAGTGTAGTTATAGCTCAGTGGGTGGTGGAGGAATTTGCGTGGTTCCAGTGGGCCAGATTTGGTTCCACAGTGCCAGATGCTATTGATGAGTAGCATGAAGAGGGAGTTGAGACACCAGTGCAGTTATGGGTCCTAAAATGTTCAGTGTGTTTTGCAGTACTGGGACTTGAACTCAGGGCCTTCACCTTGAGCCACTCTGCCAGCTCTTCTTGTGAAGGGTTTTTCGAGATAGGGTCTTGTGAAATATTTGCCTGGGCTGGCTTTAAACCGTGATCCTCCCGATCTCTGCCTCTTGAGTAGCTAGAAATGAGCCACTGGTGCCCATCTGAATGGCTTTCCATTCATGGTTCATTATTTTTTTTTATTTTTTAGGCAGTAGTAGGATTTGAACTCAGGGCCTCACACATGCTAGGCAAGCCCTCTACCACTTGAGCCATTAATGCCAGCACTAGAACTGTTCCTGTGTGTGTGTGTGTTACTGTTTCTTTTTTTTTTTTTTTTTTTTTTTTTTTTTTTTTTGTGGCACTGTTTGAATTCAGGGATTCACACTTGCTAAATAGGCACTTTACTGTCTGAGTCATTCCACCAGCTCTCCTGGGGTCTTCACATGAGGCTGGTGGGAAGTTTGACAGGAGTTTTGGTGCCACTTGGGCTGCAGTGCCTGGTAGCTGAAGTGTCCATATCTGGTGTAACAAGCCTAGAGCATAGGCTTATTGTAGGTGATTGTACAAAGTGAGCTAGGTTGAAATATAGCATGAAAGGCTGGCACGTGTGCAAAGGGTGTCTGCGAGAGAGAGATTTTTTGAGACCGTGGAGTCTATCAGAAGGACTACAGGATAGATGGTGGTTACTGGGCCGGTTTTTGATCACTTACAGGCTGTTCTGGGCATACGGCCTGGGCAGAGCACCATGAGGTGCTCTTATACTCAGACTGCTGACTACTGTGGTAGCAGTTGTGTCCGGCAGGTAAAGCTTCCTTTTCTTTTGCAGAGTCCTTCCTGTGCCCCATTGTATACTCACTCCTTCAGCTTGGTTTTGGGCTCTCTGGAGAGGCTATAAATTCTAGTCCCGCCCTCACTGGGAGCATTAGGTTCTGGTATGTTGGTCAGTTGAGACAGGAGGGAGACAGCACACAAAACACATGATAGAACCCAAGTATTTTATTACTTAAAGATATATGAGAGAAGAGAGGTACCCTGGAGGGCTGATGGGAAGTTTGGAGAGAGCTGGTGCTTATTCAGGTATTGGGGGGGTGAGAGAAAGTAAGATCTGTAGGCCTGTGAGTGTTATCCCTCAGGCTGATGGACCAGGACATCCAGTGCTAAGGTGACTGAAATTTGTCCAAGTGTTTGGGCCCAGGTCTTTATGAGGACCATCCTGGCTCGGGGATGGAAGGCAGCAACTCTGCTAAGTTGTGTCATGTGTGATGGTCAGCAACTCCCTTTCAGAGTCTTTGAACTCCAGTTACTGTTCACTCAGTTAATCCTAAGGGTCTTCCCAGGTAGTCAGTGGGTCCGAGAAAGGGGTCACAGCCAGCACCCTGACCTCTGACAGGACTGAGGACAAGGGAAACCCTCTCGTCCAGGGGAAATATATCTGAAGACTCACTTGGCTGTATCCTGTTTTAGAGGTCTAAGCAGCAGTGCCAGCCTATGTCCTGTTTCTGTGACACAAAGCTTAGTTGGCAGCTGGGTTGCTGGGTCACAAGCTCAGGATCTGTGGGAGCCTCTGTTTCCAGGAAGGCCTGATAGGTGGCCTGCCATTTTTTTGTTTTGATGATAAGCCAAGAAACCAAGAAGGTGGAATTTCTTTTATTAGAAGCCCTGGAGGAATTAACAGCCATCTAGGGCTAACAGGCAGAGTGGCTCAAGTGGTAGAGTGCCTGCCTGCCTAGCAAATGTGAGGCCCTGAGTTCAAGCCTCAGTACCCAAAAAAACAAACAACAACAAAAAACCCTAGCCATTTAGAACATTCCAGAGAATTCTGAAAGCACTGAAAAAAAAAGGTTGTCAGAACCTCTATCATGAAATCACGAAGCAGTTATTTGAGACAGGGTTTTGCTATAGTGTCATGGAAATCCTGGATCGAGTAATCTCAGACTCTCTTGCATATCTGGGTCTGGGTACCGCTGCATCTTGTTTTTTTGTCTTTTTTGATACACTCCAAAAGCACAAATAGGAGTGCCTGTTGATTTGAGCTTGGGTGTAAAATACGCAAATGAAAAACATGTTGCCACCAAAAACCCAACAGTACTAAAAGGTAATCTTTTCATGAGTGTGTCAGCTGAGTCTCCTTGGAGAAGGAGGTTATCCATGTAGCGTCATTGATAGATAGAAGATGGGTGTCATCTCTGGATGATGGCAGATCTCTTGGGTAGCTTGAAAAGGTGCATTGTGTTCTCTTTCTGAAGTGTAGGCAAACTGATTGGAAGGCTGTTGAAATAGCATGAACAGACCTGTGTATTAGGCAAGTTTATAATAGTGTGATATTACCTGGGTGTTAATTGAACAGAATCAGTCAACGCTCTTCCCTTCTCTGTTTCTGTCTTTTTAATCTTTTTTTTCCCCTTCTTTTTGACAAGGTCTCAATATATAGCCCAGGCTGGCCTTGAATCAGTAATTTCAGTTTTGGCTGTTGGTGGCCTTGATTGACGTGACCACCGCATTAAGGTGTCCTTTATTTTAAGATTTAAAAATAAGCAAAATTGGGGACTGAAGGTGTGGCACAAGTGGTAAAAGCGCCTGTCTAGCAAGTTTGAAGCCCTGAGTTCAAACCTAGTACCTTCAAAACAAAATAAAACTGGGAGGGCAAATGGAGAAGCAGCACAGATAATCATGCCTTTATGAACTAGATTTTATATAAGTTTTGTTGGTGGTGGTGTTCCTCCTCCCCCCCCACACACAACTTTTTTTTTTCTTTTTAAAGACGAGATCTTGTTAATGTAGCTGAGGCTGGCCTAGAACTCCTGACTCAGCCTCCTGGGTGCTGTGATTATAGACATTCACTACCATGCCTGGTGAGGCCCTGTTTTAACTTTCATATTAACTATTTTTATTTTTAATATTATTCTTGCAGTGCTAGGGATTAAATCCGGGGCCTTACACATGCTATGCAAGTGCTCTGACATTAAGCTAGGCAAAATTTACCTTTTTTTTTTTCCTTATTTTCATATTAACTGTTTTAATTGGGGATCCATGGCCTCATTTTGTTTGTTTCTTTGTGGTTCTGGGGATTGAATCCAGGGCCTCACACACACTGAGCAAGCACTCTACAACTCAGCCTTCATATATCAAGCCATTTTCTTTCTAAGTGAAAGTCTTACTGTAATTATATTTTTTGAAGTTCAATATAATTTTAATTGTATTGTTGTTAGAGTTTTGTGGGTTTTTTTTTGGCGATACTGGAGTTTGAACTCAGGCCTTGTGCTTTCTAATCAGGCACTGTACTGCTTGAGCCATGCCCCTAGCCCTATGTTACAGTATTTATGGTCAATATGGAATATCTCAGTACATGGGTACTGTGACTACAGGAAATGGAAGCAAGGCTTCCATTTGAGATCTGGTACCTAATGTTTAAAGTTCCTCTTTTTAAAAAAATAAAACCAAAAAAACAACAAACTTCGAGCTGCCTGAAATGGTGGTTCTACTGGTAAGAATCAAAAAGGGGCAAGAGACCTAGTGCGTTTAGGTAGTAGTCTCTCTCTGGGATGGCCAGACTTCAAGATTATTAGTTCTTTTACCCCACCTTCAGCCCCTTCTTCCCCTTATTTTTAAATAAAATCTTTAGAATGGCTTGAATCATTGGATGGCTAAGATATCTTTTCCTCTCTGTTTTAATATTTATCTGGCAAGCACCTTGTGGTGCAGATGGCCCCATAAGAGATAGAAGATGTAATTAAGTGATAGGGTGCATGCCTCACATGCATAAGGACCTGTGTTAAATTCCTTGCGCCACCAAAAATCAATTCCCCTGGCAATGTCCACATAAGGAGTGTGTCCTACATTACTTATTTCTGTTGTCCTGTTTGTAGATTCTTGCTTCCTTCTCTACTGTGTCCCATTTGACCCCATTTGACCTTATTAGGACTGAGTGTTTAACAGTACATGTAAGGGGACAACAGACTCAGCAGTACCATTGCTAACAAGGTGCCTCTCTTGTCAGGAAGTCTAGTGACCTCCCTAGATACTGACCCCTAACTCGGCAGTCAGAATAGAATGCCTTTCTCCCTTTCCCGCTCTTCTGACCCTTGTATTTGCCCCATATCTACCTTACTCATGCTGCCTCTCACAAGTCAGTGAGCCCAAGCATGGCATTCCAAATGTAGTCTGTTTTGCTCTGACCAGTTGGGGAGTGGTAGTTGGCTGGGCTCCTGGCTGTGGTTGTACCTCTTGCCCTATTGAGGTTGACAATTGGTTTCCAGAGAGCACTGACGCTATGCAGGCCCTTCCCATTTAGGATGGGGAGCATAGCACAGGTGAACCCAGCAAGCCATAAGAAATGGAGCCTTCCTAAGTGGTATTAGCTACAGGAGAGGACCAGGTGGTAAGCAGGAGGACTCTAAATGCATGTTGGTGTGTTTGCTGAACCAGTTTTGTTTTTCTCTATTTTTGTTTAAAGGTCTCTGGAGAGTGGCTGTAAATTCTAGCCCTACCCAGGACAAGAGAGTTAAGTTGTGGTCATACAACATACATGAAATAGAAGAAGCATTTTATTATCCACACACCCGTGAAATTCAAGGGCTGTCCCTCAAGAAGAGACAGAGTGCTCAATAGTGGGTTATGGGTTGAGAGAGGACAGACCTGTGGGACTATGTGTATTAAGGTCTTTGAACATTGTACATCAGGCTTTCCCACTGGGGTTACAAATTGGCTAGTGTAAAGAGAATGCTTTCGGAGGCATGTTTACATGATCTGGGATTGGCCATTAGGTTACTCGTAGTTAGTATGTGTGGGATGTGTTTGACTTTTCTGTAGCAAGATGAGAAACACGTAGGCTGTGGAGCAATCACCTTAAGCCACTCCACCAGCCCTTTTTTTTGTGATGGGTGTTTTTGAGATAGGGTCTTGAAAACTGTTTGCCCAGACTGGCTTCAAACTGTGATCCTCCTGATCAACTAGGATTACAGGCGTGATTCACTAGTGCCCAGCAATGGTATAGTGGTTTTTGGTGGTGGTGGGGGAGGGTGGGTAGTGGGTTTGAAT